AATCATTCTTTTCTGATGCTCTCCAAATAGGATCACAGACCCTGACCTTGCCCGGCAGAGCTGAGCAAACCCCTTTCCTCCCAGCAGTGAGTGGAGTCCTCTCCTGTTTCCAGCCGCAGGTGTCTGTCTAACAGGGACAGCTCAGCAAGCGGCACCAGCTGTGGACAGCGGATTTCCACTGGCAGCCTGGCCGCTGGGTCCCCCACCTCACTGGTCACCAGGGTGCTCTGCGGGGTCCTCCCAGGGTTCCTGCCCCAGGCTCTCTCTTCCTCCACACTGCATCTGACTGTGGTCTGCCCAGGTTGACCCCAGCTCCAACGCTGGCCCCGCAGAGTGAGCTCCCCACAGGAAGACGAGAGCTCAGGTTCCTTACGCTTCACACACAGCTTTCAGGTGAATCTGCAAGCCGGAGCAATGAGGGGAGACGGTGGGGGAGGTTTGTGTAAAGATGCACAGAAATCCTGACAGCAGATGTGATGGGCGTCCTCGGGCGGAGTGTGTGTATGTGTGTGTACCTGCACACACTCGTGTATTCCCCTCTAGCTTGGCTCAACTCTCTCAATTTTTTGCATTTGCTTATATTTCTCTCTGCATATTTTGCTTATTCTCTCTAACAAACTTCTGCAGATGTAAACCAGAATTTGAGTTCCATGAAAATTATGGTCCCTAATCCGTCAGTCATAACAAATTGGTGGTTTCAAAACAAGCCCATTGGCAGAGCTTACGTGTGTGTGTGTGTGTGTGTGTGTGTGTGTGTGTGTGTGTGTGTGAAAGAGACACCGAGCAGACTGTGTGCAGTACAGTATTATATTGTGTGGGTATTGTGTGAATAAGTGAGGAGGAGGAGGAAGATGAGGGGACCTCAGAATGCACCCATGCACCCCCAGCTCAATGCTAACCCACAGGCACCGCCTTGACACCCTTGACCACGGTCCCTCAGCTCAAGACAGTACTATTCCAGGGGAACCTGGATGCCATCAGTCCCAGGCTTCATCCCCCCCCCACAATGGTTATGCTGATATCAGGAGGCCCATCTGGTGCCCTGGTATGAAGGGCAGAGCTAACAGCTTGTTTCCACATCTGCTGCACCATGCCGCAGTTTTCCAGTGCAAGCTCAGAAGTGTGCCTGTCCCCAAAGCCTCACGCAGCCCTTCCCAGGGAGCTCCCTCCCCTCCAGCACCCACGGAAGCACAGCTGTGTCGCTGCTGTGAGCTGTGCCATCACTGTGAGCTGTGCCAGTTCTCATACTTTATAAATATGGAAGTATGGAACACACATGTTTTTTAATTAGTGCATATTAATTACACAGAACCCCAGGCTTTGTTCTGCAAATGTACATGAATATAACATACTTTGATCATTGTTACCTTCTTATTCCCCCTGTTGCCATTAACTCCGCTCTCCTGGTCCCCTTCTTCTCCTCTAACAGTCTCCCTCCTGTCTTCCATCTGGTTCTGCTCACCCAGGACAACGTCCCAGAGAGGCCTCCCCAGAACAGGGAGCGGTGGTAGCACATTCCTTCCTGCAGTAATCCATGCCACTAGTTTACTTCTGTTCTTAGAGAAAACATCAGGAATAATGGAATTCCCAACAACTATTTTGCCCTCAAAATAACACAACTCAGGGCAAAGTTGGTAAAATAGTACAAACTTGCTGAGACAAGAGGATCACAAGCTCAAACCCAGATTGGGTAACTTAACAACAGGGACACCCTGTCTGAAAACTTTAAAAAATTAAAACACAGATGGGCTGTAAGCCAGTGCAAAAGCCCCAGCACAGGGAAAAGAAAAAAATACAAACTTCGGTGTAGATCCGAGGAAGAAGCTCAAGAAAGCCAGGGCACAGCTCGCTGCCTGCATGGGGGAGCTGTGTTCAGGGTGCTTGAAAACTGCTCAGGGAGGGACGAGTGTTCTCAGCACCAAAGGGGAAAGCACGTGTACGCATGTGGGGTTGATTGAGCCACTCCACGAGGCGTGCAAAAACCAAAACATTATGGTGTACACCTAAGTATATGTCATTTTTGTCAACTGAAAATAAATAACCAGGACAGCAATGAACACACCTGTGTGTTTCTTCCCCAGACAGTGAGAAGACGTCTCCATTGGAGACGCTGTCACTAGGCCTGCAGCGATGCTAAGGGAGTGTCCCCGGAGAGCCTGCCACAGTAGAAATTTTGATCCTAAGCAATATGGATAAAATACGAAGGTTCTTCAGGACCCCAGCCCTGTGGAACAGGCTTTATGCATAACATGCAGGAATATGGGAATAACAAATCTCCTCATGGAAATGAGCTGGCAGAACCAGGAAAAAACAGAGAAGGAGAGGAAGGGAAATCAGTTTCTTCAAGCTGTGCCCTCCCCACTTAGACTTCAGTCCCCGGCTACCAGAGGTGCAGCATATGTGACAGCCATCTGAGGGGAGCACAGTCTTGCTGGGAAGACACGAGCTCTTTGCCCACGGGGTACTCCCTCCATTAGTCAGCTTTCTGATACTATAACAACTTACCTGAGGTAATCAGCTCCACAGAGGAAAAGCTTATTTGGGCTCCATTTCAGAGATTTCAGTTCATGCTCATTGCTTTGGAGCTTGTGGTGCAGCAGAGCATCACACTGGGAGCCCATGAAGGGCCATGCTGCTTGCCTTGTGGGGACCTGGACACGAAGAAAGAGACAGGAAGTGACAGGGTCTCAGTTTCCTCTCCAGACGTGCCTCCAGTGATGTCACTTCCTCCCACTGGCCCTACCTTCTACAGGTTCCCCACCTCCCACGGGAGCCAGGAGCTGGGAACCACACCTGGAGCACGTGGCCTTTGGGGAGCACTTCAAATGCGACTGCCACAGAGAGCGTCTCAACTGAAGCAAGTCACAGGGCCGCAGTTGGTGTTGGAGAGCTCAGAAGTGGGGCCGGCAAAGGTATCACGCTTTTGTTGTCAGCAGGGAAAGCTCACAGTGCTTCTGCCTGGAAAGGGTGCGGGACCCTGCCTACCACTGGCAGATGCTTTTCTGGGAGCTGACACCACTCAAAGTCTCAGACAGAAAGGGAATGTCATTGTCACACACACCTATGCATTGGGTTGCACATTCTATGGAACTGAAACCATCTAAAATGTGTCTATTCACCAGACACTGACAGTCAGTAGGTTTATCGCAAATCTATGACTATGTTCTCAATCCTAGGAGGTAACAAGTTATCTGCGATCTTTGTATTTTGTAAAAATCAAAGCAGAAGTCACACTGTTTTACAACCCATCTGATCTGTTAGATGATAGATAGACACCAGACAGACAGATAGATGATAGATAGAGATGATGTTGATGGGTGAGTGCATAGGGTTTTTTTTCCCCAGACAGAGGGAAAACAAGCTGACTTAAAATGAAGTGGGTGAGAACACATGTGAGCACACTTGCCCTAGGAGGCTCCCTCACCAGGAGCTCTGCACCGGCCCACTGCCCTGTGCCCTGCCAGTCCCCCTGGAGCACACCTCCAAAGCACACAGTCCTGGGAGAGAGTGCCGGCAGCCAAACACTGCTAAAGGCTGTTCACTGCTCACTGTCCGCCGGCAGCGAAGGCTCCTTCAAGCATCCTCAGGATGCAGGATCACAACGTCCTCCCGGCCCTCCAGGGTGGCAGGGATCATAGCTGTCTGCAGGGCCATTGCTGGGTCAAGTGACGTGAACTTGAGTGCATCCATAGGAAGTTAGGCTCAGCCCGCTGAGTCCACCAACGGGCTCTGTTGCCAGGGATGCATACCATGGGACTCTGCACCTAACAAGCAGGATTGTGACATCTCAGGAAGGGCTGAACTGGCAGCAAAAACTCTCAGTGCTCAGGGACGTGAACATGTAGAACTCTCCTCCTTCTCCATAAGTGTGTGCACACACTCATAGCATGAACACACACACACACACACACACACACACACACACACACAACTAGTACAATACCTACATAAAAACCGCCTCCTCCAGAAATAATTGTTCCTCAAACGTCTTAGTCAGCAAAGTGAAGAATTGATTTTTCATGCCACAGAGAGCCAGCGTTACAGTCATCGTCCTTGAAGACATTTCCCTTGGATACCAATTAAGAAAATGGTTCCTTAGAGAATTTTTAATGCAAGAGGATGATCTGTTTGGAGCAGGGCTGAGCCATAATTAGAAGCCACAATCCCACAGAGAGGCATCCTCCCGTGCAGCCTGCCAGCCCACTGCGGCCAGCCTCGGGCTCTGACAGCCCTCCAGGACAGAGCTCTGTCTGCAACCTGCTCAGACTGCCCTAATACGAAATTATTATGTTCTTGCTCACTGTGGATGAAAATGGAAAGAGGAGGAAAAAGAGAGACAGAGACAGAAACAAACAGAAACAGGAAGGAAAGAAAGCAAAGAGGAAAGGAGGGAAGGAGGGGGAAGGGAAGAAAAGAAAGGAAGAGAAAGTCTTTGCTGCTTTACCAGCTGGAAATAACCACGATGAGCCATTTTTGTGCGTTTCCTTCCAGCCTTTGATAAAATGCTTTGGGACAGTGGCTTCTAAGCAAGTGGACTAGCAGGAGAGGCACCCGGAACCTCCCAGCAAAGGGTGGGAGGCAGCGGTCTTCCAGCAGGCTCTGCTTGATGTGGCAGCTGCTGGGAAGCAGGCTGCTCTGGCTCCCTAAGACGTCCCTCGTGTGTGTGTGTGTATCTGTAAAACAGGATTCTCACAGGAGAACTAAAGACACTCGTGGGGTTTCCCTCCCATGAGAACCTAGAATTGTGAATCAGTCAGTGGATAAACAGGAGAGAAGAGAGGAAACAGAAACAGACTCGTGGAGATGTGGGAGGGGATCCGAGGGAGGCAGAGGTGAAGACGTGTGTTCGGTCCCCAGTGAGCACCACTGTCCTGTACTGCAATCGCACACTGGCCTAACTTTTAAATGGTAGGAAGGAGAGAGCCGTTGGGAAGGCAGTATCCTTGCTGGGAAGTAGAAGCTCTTAACAGAGCTGCGGGAAGAGAATTCTGAACCAGCCAGTGAACCTCCTGGGGCAGCAGAAGGAGAAGCTGGGGGCAGTCCAGCAAGGCTGCCTGTGCTGTGAGCATTCCCCACCCTGCGCCATCAGTCCCGTGCTCATGACTGTCTGAGATTCGAGAAGAGTACCATTTCCCCAAAATTAATTTACCAGCAAGAGGAGGAACTTCCTCCATGCTGAGGAGCCGTTGCCTGGGGACCCACCCTGTCAGCCCAGGCCCTGGGTGGGGACACCGTGAGGACAGCAAGAAGGTGTCTGGCATGGAAGGTTAAAGGTAGCATTTTAAGGGCTCTACTGTGGCGCGGGGCTCATTTACTTAATGTGCAAATCCTTGCTCAGCCCTGGCTTTGCTAACATTTCCCCTTCTCTGCAGCTTGGCTCTGTCTGTTGACATCGTTTTTCTGAAAGCAGAACTTTGTAAATGTGATGGGGTCTGATTGATTGATCAGTTTTTTATTTAATGAGTGGTGCTTTTGGAGTAACTGAAAGGTCTCTGCTTAGCCAAAGCTCGTGGATTAGTTTCCTCTCTTATCTTGAAGAGGTTTTATGTACTTGGGTAATAAACAGAGGCCCAGAATCCATTCCTGTTACATTTTATGTAAGACATCAGGGTCATGTTCTCACGTGGAGATGTCCACTTGCTGAAGTAAGTGTTCTATTTTTCATGCTTCCTGTGACAGCCACACCCTTCAGGACAGGATACCTTGTGTGACACCCTCACCTCATCTTCACACAACCCTGTAAGGAGCGTAATGGAACGTCACCTCCATCTATGATAGACAGGGAAACTGAGGCAGGCAGTGTATGATCACTTTCCCAAGAGCAATTATGGTTTATTTGTAGATGTCTCCCAGGGGCCTCATGCCCTTGGAGTTGGGGCCGTGAGAAGGACACTGGATTACAGAAGCCCTGTGGCCCACTGGCCTTCAGGAGTCAGGGTGTGATGGCAGCAGGTGAGTCTCTGTGGGTGTGACAGGGGACATTTATCTCCTTCCATCCTGTGTTTCCTGCCCACCCTACTGGGAGCAGGCCTTCTCCCGCATACCCCTCCATGGAGCTGTCCTGCCTTGCAGCCTGTCAATGATGGACTGAAAAGTGAACCATAATAAACCTCTCCTCCCTTAAATTTTGGTCGTCAGGCATTTTGTCCCTGCAGTGAGGGAAATGACTAAGATAACCACCTAAGCACCAAGTGGCAGGATGAGACCAGAACGGTGTGGATCTCAACCTAGAGGAAGAATGAACAGTGACCAGTGTTTTTGGCCACTAGCAGAAATAGCCCCAAGGTCCAGCATCATCAGGGAAGACCTGATAAGACAAATTGTGGAGCTAACAGGAGTCAGCATCTCAGGGTGTGCTCATCCTATGGAGCCCCCCCATCACAGCAGGCATTATGACCCTTCCTCCATGCCCTGGAGGCCACTCAGGCCCTGGGCCAATGGGCAGGAAGGGCAAGGGTCACAGGCTCCTCATTAGAGTTCAGGAAAGATTTGATAGGAAGCAAAGGCATGGGTGGAGACCAAGAGAGAGGTGACCACAGACGGCTTCCCTTTCAAAAGAAAGAAAACGTGGCCCCGCCCCACACTGATGTCTGAGTCTGGTCCACTCTCATACCAACATCTTAATGAAGCAGCCTGGGACTTGTGTTTTGTTATATGTGGGGCTTCCTTTATCCCATTCTAAACATTGGTTTTGGATAGCACGCTAAAGCCCCACTCCTGTTTGATCTAATCCTCTGTAAGATCATGACCATCCCAGTGGTCTTGTGCTTCTTTCAAGTTTTCAGTGAATAAACAGAGTCTGGCAGAGCTGCCCCAGGTGGTGGGATGTACCACTGCCCGAAAATCTGTCGTCAACCCCAGGATGGGGAAACGCCACTGATGTGAAACCGGCTTTGTAATTCTGCTTGTGTCTGATACTTCTTTATTTCAGAAAACCGTGGACTCAGCTATTTAAAAAGCATTTTTCATCTAAAGAAACGGTTCCCCGATGAATCATAGAAACCTGTGAGGCCCTTAATTTGTGATATTTGATTGGGAAAGAAGAAACAATAGCTAACACTCACCACAAAGATTACCACCTGTAGGGTAAAAGTATGTGTAATTTTGAATTTGTCCCATGGATCGTTTTAGCTTGTTTTGTTTTGCTTTGCTTTTTGCTTGGGAAAACAAACTGCCTTGTCTGACCACGTCAGTTGGGCAATCGCGTAGACAGGGCAGTTTTTTAATCTGCTCTCTATTGTGACTTCAACCATACCCAGGAGCATTTGGTTACTTGTGTCTTTCCCATTCTGCCTCACTATCAATAGGATGGGTTTCTCCCTGGAAACTCCAGAGCTTCACGCCAGTGTGGGTTGGCCTCATCATCCCTTGTGCTCAGGCAGAGGAGGAAACAGCCGACAGTCTGGCCAGAGTCTCCCCATCTTTCCAGGTTGTATTCCAACTCCCAGAGATCCATATCTAGGAGCTCAGTTTCTCTCCCTGCTTAGACACCTCCTTTCATGGGGGCTTCAAAGTCTTGCCCCAAGGCGGGACAGTGGCTCAGGAATTCCCTCAGGTCCCCAATTCTTGTGATTCTACATGGTTTTCAAAGTCTCCAAAGTGAGTTAACTTTGACTTTAGTGAAGGAAGGAAAGTGAAGTGTATGAGACACATCTCTGACCAGGCGGCTCTCTGTTATTTCCCACAACAGAATGAAAGTCCGATTTGCTGAAAGGAGACTACAAAATCATGAATGGAGGAGGGAATGAATGAATGGGCGAGTGCTGGAGAGACGGAAGGATGAGTGAATAGCTGACTCTATCTGCAAAACTTGGTATTACTAGAAAACCAGTTTTATTTTAATATGGCCAAAATATTTGGAGGTTAAGGTCACAGAAGTTTAAATTATTCAATAAGAAATTTGAAGCCAAAATCATGGCATCAAAATCCAGAATCATTCCTATAATGATAAGTTCAGAGTTACTAAACTGTAGAAAATATGCCAATGCTCAGGCACTGTATATTATTTGAAATGTCTGGATTGGTTGGGGATTTTTAAAATAAAAATACAATTCTTCAATAACAAAATCGGAACCACACTCATAAATATACGTGTGTGTGTGTGTGTGTGTGTGTGTGTGTGTGTTTCTACAGTCATTTTTGAAGTAAATCAAGGCCACAACATTCTGTTGAATCTTTGTAGAATACAAAATAAGATCAACTCTCAGCTACACTCATCCTGTACACTTGAACCTTTACCTTTAAAAAGATGAATTCTTTGCTAGTTTAAATTGACTGCATCCCAGGAATGTCCCCAAAGATAAACTTTTGGATATTTCTTAAGCTGGGGACTTTGAGGACAAAGAGCATGGCATTTTTGAGGAACTAGAGTGAACTACACTCACTAAAATTCTTTAAAATGTAAACAGTCTGTGATGACTGAACAGCTTTCAGACAAGGACTTCTGCACTCCTCAAAGCAAAGTGAGCCTGCCCCGGGATATAGACGCAGAGTGAGGTGTGACCAGGGAAGCACAGGAGGGCTCCTTGCCCTCTGCAATCTCATCTGCAGATCATCAAAGGAAGAGATGAGATCATGACTTTATCTGCAGTGAGGCCCTTATCTGTGCATGGAGGGTTAAGCAGCTGAAGGATCCCAGGAAGGGTCTGTATTCCTGCAAAGAAAAGAAGAGTCTGGACAGTCCTGCAGCCCAGACCGCAGGAAATGTTTTGATCATTTTAGCTAATGAAGGAATTTCTTCAAAGACACAGTAGGGTGGAGTGCCCACATTATCTAGCTTTCCTGAGCAGAGACAAATGCAGCATAAGCTACAGTACAAGTAGTCCAGACAGTCCAATGCCTTCAGCTGACTTCATGAACACTGAGGGGACTCACCAAGTTAGTGGTGGCAGTCGAGTTACTTTGTGTGCTGAGTTGCAAAGGTCACAGTGAGTGTCCTTACACAATTCCTTCTTGCAGAGAGACGTCTGCCCACAGTCACAGTGAGTGAACGGAGTGGTAGCCACAGTGCAGGACAAGCATAGAGACCCTCATCATCCTCCTGCTGTGCAAGATGCAGGGTTCAGGACGGCAGGTGTATGTGGTCAGTTATCTTGGTCTTTGGGCTATGTAAGTCCAGTCCTTCCTGCAGGTACTGCAAAGGAATCTATAGGCTATGAAACCACAGGTGCTGTTTGGAAGTTTTAGTTCAGAGAAGAAACTGTCTGGACAACCTGCAGGTGGGGAGGAGTGACTTGGCCTCTGTCTGAAAGAGCACAGAGCCCAATTTTCAGTCTGTGCTCATTTGAGTCTTCAGCACTGTCCCCTGTTTACTTTCAAGAATGTCTAAACTAGCTTAGCATGGTGATGCACACATGTAACCCTAGAACTTTGGAGGCTGGAGCAGGAAAATCCCCATGAGTTTGAGGCCAACCTATGCTCCATAGCAAGATCCTGACTCAAAAAATAAAAAAAAGGTTGTGTAAGTTGTTTTATTTTTTCTGACATTAGGTAGCAATATAATTCAGAACAAGCATAAAATGATAATAAGATTCATAGCACTGCATCTGGCCTTAGCTTTTTTGGGGGGTGTTGAGGGTACTCCTTTTATTTATCAAAACATAGGTATTTAAGGCATTGATGATATGGGCCTCAAAACACATGGAGCAATCAAGCCCTCCTAAGCAAGTTTACAGCCTTTCTACACAGAAAAATTAATATGACTGACAGGAGAAAATGCTCCCATGCTAGTAAATGTGCTGTCTTCACAAATATATTTCTCATTCTGTGAGGATTCCCTGTCTTAGTTACTCTTATCTTTGCTGAGATAAAATATCTATCAGGAGATGGTCAGGATCTTGATCTTATGGACAAGCTTACAGAATTGCATCAAATAAAGACAAAGGTAATTATGGTTTGTGGGGTCCAGGAGGGCCCAAACTCTCTCTAGGTGCTCAGACAAAGACTTCTCTCGAGCACTTATATTTGTTGGGTTTCCAGAAATTCAGGGAGTGTAGGAAGTGGAGGGCACAGCCGAGGCAAAAGAAAGCAAAAATGAGCAAGGCTTTGAGAAACAAAAGGCAGTAAATCTAAAGTTGGCACTTTATTGCCCTTAAATCCTTTGAGTAAGATTCAGCAGCCACAGCTGCAGCATTATCTGGTCTTCAGAGACTGGTCAGCAACTTATTCCTTATACAGCTCAGTCCCCAGTATCTAACACCCCAAGTTAGAGTGGGAAAAGTTTATTGTAGCACACAGTTTGTTGGGGTTTCAGTTCATAGTTGGCTGGTTCCAAGCCAGGACAGCATGGCAGAGGAGAAACAGTTCATGGTGGGCAGAAGGCAGAAGGCACCAAGCGCTGAAGGACTGAAGCAGGAAGTGACGACAGCAAGCCTCTGCTCTGTTCCGTATAGTCTGTGCAGCCCACCAGCCTTAGGGTAGGTTACAGATAGCATTCACATCCAGTGAGGGCCTTCTCATTGTCCTTCAAATTATGTCACCCCTATCAGTGAACTAATTTAGAAAGCACACGCTTAATCCCAGTGTCACACACTCTTGATCCAGCCACTCTGAAAAGCCACACCTGTGACCATGAGGCTTTGCAGGGGACATCTAGACACAGACCATAACATTCTGCTCCTGGGACCCCAAATACTCATGCACATCTCTTTATGTGAAAGGTATTTCTCTTCTGCAAGAGTTGCCAAAGTCCTAACAGTTTCAGCATCACAGAAATGTCCAAGTCCAAAATGTCCTCTGAGATTTAAGGCAAACTGTTAGCTGCAAGCCCCTGCACAAATGAAAAGATAACTGAATACTTCCAACGTTCAGTGGCACAAGATAAGCATTTCCATCCCAACAATTACAAACAGGGAGGATACAAAGGAACATGACAAAAGCAAGTTCCAAATCCAGCAGGGCAAACATTAAGTCTTTAGTTCCACATGAGGCAGTCTGTGTCAAACTGTGATCTACAAGGGGCTTGCATGGCTCCCCACCCATGACGATTTCTGTAGCAGTAGCTCCCAGGGTTTCTCTCTTAGGCTTGCTTTGCTCCCTCCTTGTAGGTTTCCCTAGATAATCTGCATTCCTGGTTTTTCCAAACTTCTGGACTCTCCACTGCATGTTTAGTGTCACACATTGCCCTGTCAGGGTCATTTGCCAAGACTCCCAAGCTTTCTTTTGAAATCTCAGTAGAAGTCTTTTGATACAACGAAACCAAACAAAACAATCTTACATTTCAAAAACAAGACAGCAGGAAATCGACAATAGTTGCTGTATTGCACATTGTTATCTTCTAAATATCTCTAAGTGCTCAGACTACCAGATAGAGGCATGTAAAGTTAATCAAACAATGTACATCCTAAGTTGTTTCTTTGCTTCATTGCTATCATTTCAGAAATTTCAGGTGTGTGGCTGCTAATTTCTTTTGTGACTACGTCTCCTGGACTTGTTTTGGGTGGGCTGGAAGTCTGAGATTGCACCTTGCTCCTTCGTCTTGACATTTTCTGTGTTCCTCTGAATCAGCCAGTTGCTGAGTTCTAAGTGCTTCATGCATTGGCTGTGCATCCCCATTCCATAAAGAGAATTGGGCCAGACCCCTCAGTTCCTCCAGTCCAAGGTTCCAGGGCTGGTGGAAAGTCGTGGGGTGGTGGCTCACTGTTGTTCCACCAATGGTGGTGGGGCCTCAGGGCATGGCCCCTCTCCTCCAGGCCAACAGCCAGACCACTAAAGGTGTGGCTCTTTCTCCTCTGAGCCCCAGTGGTAGGCTCACTGGAGAGCAAGTCTCTTTCCTAGCAGCCTGTTTACCCTCGGAGCTCTTGCACTCTGCATACACCTAAAACCAGCACCAAGTGAAGGATGCTATGGCCTGCTGCCAGGTGGAGTAGTAGCCAGGCATTCTTCTCTCTTGGTTGTAGGAGTTGGGCACCTACATATATGGGATCTATGAACCTGATTCTGAGGAACAAGTTCTTTATGTTGTTGCCATTCTGGAACCAGTATGGCCTCCATCATTCTGGAATATAATGTGGCTGCCTTCATTCTAGAACATGGTGCTGTGCAGCTTTCTCCTCAAAATAGCATTTCACTTTTGCAGTTTTGAGGCTACAAAGGGTAAGTACTTGCTGTTTTCTCGTGATGCCCTCAGGTAATCTTTTGTATTCTCCTGTTCCTTCTCAGCAATAGAAATAGACTGCTGTATCTTGGCAGTCCATCCTTACTGGAGCTTCCATTCTGGCCAAACTCAACATTTTAAATCATTCTGCTAAGCTTTCTTCTCTTGATTCTCAATGTAAATCTGACTTAAAACCCTAACAATAGCCATGCCACAGAATTAACATTTGACTGCCTTGAAATTTCTTCTGCCAGTTTAATTTGTCTACTGTGCTTTATCTCAATCTCAGGCAGATTCTCTGGACATGAACAAAATGCATACACACTTTCTGCCAAGCCGTAACACACACTGTCTTGAGACCAGCAGCCAATGCATTCTTTCTTCCCAGCAGAAGCCTCCCAAACTTGGTCTTTACCAGCAGGATTTTTATCAGCTTCCTTGTCTTCTGAGTTCTGCCCAGAAGCTCCCACACAGAGCAAACTAACGTGTTCCTGCACTGTACATTCATCTCCAAACCTTTCCAAAGTCTTCCCACAAGTCATTCTGAAAGACTCTTGAACCACATGGTCAGGTATAGTGACAGCAACAACTGCTCTTTTCTGGTGCCAAATTCTGTGTTAGTCACTTTTCTCTCACTTCTGAGACAAAATACATGATGCCAAAAATTAGGAAAGGAAAGACTTGTTTAGTTCACAGTTCATGAATGCTTCAGTCTATAATCAGCTGGCTCCAAGGCAGGGTGATGCAGCAGAGGAGCAACAGCTCATGGCACCTGGAAGACAGCAAAAGCAGCAAAACAAAAAAAAAGTGGAGCTCAAGAGAAGACTCTTTCCGTCCCTTATATTAAATGTAGGCTACCAACCCTAGGATGGGTGTAGCAATCCCACTCATAATTCCAGCATTGGGCCATGAATCAACCTCAAATTCTAGAAACCTGCCCCCATGACTACATAAGGCTTTGGGGGGACATCCA